CACACACACACACACACACACACACACACACACACACACACGCACACACACACACACACACACACACACACACACACACACACACACACACACGTGTCCTGTCATCTCTGCCTCTCATGAACAGCATCTGTTCGGATTATCAGGGCATCTGACTCTGCTGAAGTCCTCACATCTGATAGTCGAGCAGACTTCAACAGACTCATCAGAGCCATCGTCACATTGAGAAGACCCATCACAGAGGAAATTGTATGCAGAGATGCACTTGCTCGCATCCTTGCACTTCCAGTAGCCCTGAGCACATTCCCAAGTCTTACAAACTTCCGCACCCTCATCAGTGCCATCTTTGCAGTCCGCATTTCCACCACACACACTTTCAACATCGATGCACTGCGGAGTCTTTGTACACTTCCACTGATCCGCACGGCAGTTGTACGTCTGGCAGAAGGTGGCACTCTCGTCACTACCATCAGCACAGTCCACGTGGTATCCATCACAAAGTGCTCCACTCACACACTTCTTGTCATTCGTTGGGCACTTGAAGCGGGACGAGCCTGTTCCTTCAAGCGATGTGCAGTTGTAAGACTGGCAGAAACTGGCCTCCTCATCTGAACCGTCCTTGCAATGGTTCTTCCCATCGCACACCAACGGAGTTCCGATGCATTGAATGTCGTTCTTGCAGCGCCACGTTTCACTCGGGCACGTGTAGTTCTTGCAGAAGCTGGGGTCCTCATCAGCCCCATCTCTACAGTCATATATGCCATCGCAGTAAACACCTGGCCTGCATTTCCGGGGAGATTTGCACAGCACTTGTTCAGCATTGCACCCGGTAATGCTTGCACAAGCAGCGCGTGTCTCATCACTGGCATCCAGGCAGTCTCGTTTTCCATCGCAAAGCTTCTCTCTCGAGTCCATGCATCCCACCCCGCTCGGACACTTCACCGTGCCGGTGCTGCTGCAGTCAAAAGTCTTGCACAAGCTCGATTTCTCATCAGACCTGTCTCGACAATCATAACGGCCGTTGCACTGATCGGATGGGTTTATGCAGCTGCTGCCGTCCTTGCATCGGATCTCATGCTCATAGGTGCATGGGAGCTTCGCGCAGTTGGCAATTTGCTCATCCGAGCCATCTGCACAGTCCTTCCTGCCATCGCAAAATTGGRATCTGGAAAGACACGAGTACTGCAATGGCCCCGTCGGGCACTGGTACTGGYCGTTGCTGGCATTGCACGACTTCTCATATTGGCAGCCAGCAAATTCGGAAGTTTCATCYGAGCCGTCAGGGCAATCCTGTCTCCCATCGCAGAACTTCGTTCTGGCAACACAGGTCTTATTGTCAGCACAGAGCCGCTGCGTCAGGTCCCGACACCCACATGTTTGCAGGCTTTCGTCAGATCCATCCGGGCAGTCGCGTTTGCCGTCGCAGAATAGGTCTGCAGCACGGCAAGTCCGACCGTCCTTGCACTTCCTGAATCCCTCTGGACAAGGTTTGGATTGGCAATTCTTTTCGTCCGAGCCATCTCGGCACTCCTTCGTTCCATTGCAAAAGGCTTCGTTGCGCACACATCGCCCTCCATCGCAGCGGAAGTAGGCCTTCCTTGCAAACTCTTCGTCTCCGCCCTGAGTGGAGCAGAGACGGTTTTTGCAATACCACCCAGCCTCGTCACCTCCATCTTTGCAGTCCGGAATGCCATCGCAGAACTTGTGCTCAGGGTCATCTGAGCTGTCATCTGTCTCCGTCCACAAGCATTCAACCCCGTTCGGGCATTTCATAGCGTACGCCCCCCCGTACACAGTGCAGTTGAAAGACTTGCAGTAGTCCTTTTTCTCATCGCTTCCATCTGCCAGTGGAAGAACATACACACAGACGCACACACACACACACACACACACACAGACATTGCATAGTTGGTGTGAGTGAGCGCCTCTTGATGCGGTCAGTACTTACCCAATGGCATTCACTAAAATCCATCCTGGGGAGATATCAAGGTTCGACCTATGGATGAATTAATTTAGTGGAAGTCCAAAAAGAGCAGTCTGTCACACTCAGCCTTTGTTGGGTGAACTTGTGTTTAGCCAAATTAATGTGCAACACACACCTGCGAATGCAAATCTGGAGCATCTGAAGATCACACAACTGCAAATCTGTCTGCAAAGAGCAAGGCACATGTAATGTCCCATCAGCACCCGTCACAACAAGAAATTTTGAGGTTGAATAAGGAGAACAAAAGGCTCTGCGTGGACGAGGAGGAACAGCAGCAGGCAGCCAGCAACAGGAGCAGGAGATGACAAAGAAGAAGAGGGGAAAGAAGAAGAGGAAGAAAAGCTTGAAAAACAATAAGCAGCAAGGACAAAGAAGATCAAGAAGAAGATGTCATCATACCAGACCAGGTCCTTGCAAAGGCAGGAGGAAATGAGAGATTATGAGACTCGCCAGATGGTGGGATAGATTGCATAAGAGTGATGATGAAATGCAACATCGAGAGAGCACAATGATCTGTGAGATCAACAGACTGTGACATCTTAGTGATGTGACTCATGTGAGCGATTCTGCTGTTTCTTTTCCATCAATGGACTTGAGGACATACCATAGCAGTCGACGACTCCATTGCACAGGTACCATTCAAACGGATGGTAAATGTCTTCATCATCCGGCGGTGCTGACCATGTTTGTTTGGCAGTGCACATCCGTTTGCTGGGACATTTTCCTCGGAGAGGCCCGCAGTCGAACTCCACACAGTGATCTCCTTCATCGGAGCCATCATCGCCTGCAAATGACGGACAATTCAAAGACCCGTAAAGCTGCAGTTCAGGAGATGATGCAGTTCAGACAAAGCAATTTCAAACCACCGCAACATGGAGGAGGAGGCAAGTGGGACATCGAAGAGTAAAAGAACTCATGGACTAAAAAAATGTGCAGTGAGTGAAGAGGTAGAGCTTAGCGAACTGCTAGTTCTTCAACATGGATCTAGTACGGGTTGTACCCTTTATAAGGGCATTGGAAATGATACTACGTAATTAGACGGGAGTATACTAGTAGAGTAAGCGCGGATAAGTAATGCAATGCAAGGTTACAAGTAAAATTATTCCACTTAAAATAGAGTGTACCGAGAACGGCGAGAAGACAAGATCGTAATAGCTGGCTGGAGAGTCAATAGCTGTCGCTATGGGCTGAATTGGCACTGTCTCACTGCATATTCTGTCCATTTTGTCTGTCTGTCTGTCTGTCCCTGTGTCTGTCTGTTTGTTTGTCTGTTTGCATGTGTGGGTGTGTGCGTCCGGGCGCGTTTGATGTGTGTATATGTTGTGGGAGGGGTGTTTGTTCATTGCGTGCAATTGGTCTGCGCCTGTGTGTGGTGATCCGTCACCACAACGACAACGACCCCTTCTCCTTCCAGATAAGCAGATCCCAAATTGAAAGAGCTTTACCTCCATAGCAAATATAACATGAAGACAACATGACGCCAACATGACCCCAACATGACGACATCATGAAGGCAACATGAACACAACATGAAGCACACTAAGGTGAGCAGATCTAAATTGAAACAGCTTTAACTCTAGAGAAAACATCAAGACCACAGTAAAACCGTTGTATGTGTGTGCATCCGTGCACGTTTGATCTGAGTCTGCGCAAGCGTTTGCTGTGTGTATTATTGGGATCATGTGTGTGTTAAATCTGTGCACTTGGTCTGTGCCTGAGTGTATGAATGCCAGTGGGAGCAATATGCGTCTGCAGAAGACTACGGAGAAGACTGAGAAGGCTCTGAAGAAGACAGGGGAGAACGATTTTGGGTCGAGATCTCTGTGCAGCACCCCTCTATGGAAGGCAACATCACCCCTAAATCCATACATGCTTGTCAAGTATTGATTTAGCTTCCGCCTGACCTCTTTCTTAGTACTCAGACGCATTAATTGCCCCTAGGAATGGGCATCCAAGCCGTCAGACATCGAAGCTTTTTCTTTTTTTCTTTTTCTGTTTTTCGTTACCTTCTATCCGACAGAAAAGGAGTTCCTTACAAAACAAAGAAAAAAAACAAAAAAAAAAGGAGTTCCGAAAACATCATCAGGGCCGAGGTCCCACTAGCAACAAGAATCTGGATGTGTTTTACACACAGATGCAGAAAATCAGTTCAATCTCAATTTCCTGCACCTCCCAACAAACACGTCCAGATTCAGGCATTCGATCCGATCCTCTGTGCTAGTGGGACCACCACTTCGTCGCACCGAAGTCTCCAGAGTCTTCCTTCCGCTATTGAGCTGTAGTACTCCAGAGTCTCCAGAGTCTCCAGAGTCTCCAGAGTGCGCACTTTTTCTTTGTTTTCTGTCTGTGCAGTGTGCACTACTCTCCAGAGTTACTATATCGAGATTCTCTCCAAGTTCCAACTAAATTTGCGCCGTGCTCAATAAGCTACAGCCATAGGACCTGGCTCCAATACTCACCAAATAAATGTACAAAATGAGGATGCATATTCCGCTAGAACATGGAAAGATACACCGCCTCCTTTGAAAAAGCAACAAGCGAGCGCGCAACACACATACGCAAACACGCAAACACGCAAACACCCAAACACGCAAACGCCCAGACAGAAAAGAAACGAAAGTGCCTCTCACTCCTCTACTCTCGACATGTGCAAAACGAGAGTGAATCTTCCGCTATAACATGGAAAGATACACCGCCATGATTTTTGTCTTTTGTGCATGCATGTCGGGAGTAGTGGAGCGAGGCCCAAAGCACGCCCTTTTCCGTGCAAAGACCCGCACGCACATAAACGGGGTGAAAATACGGGGTTCAAAAAGCGAACCAAAGCAACCCCAAAAAAAACGAAAAAGATGCCTCCAGACGGGACGCTGGGTATAGATAGTTCGCGAGGGCGAAGACGAAATGAAAGAGAAGAAGGGGGGGGGGGGTGGTGGAAGGGGAGGTTCAAAAGAGTGATGGATACTCACAGTCTTTCTTTCCATCGCAAAAACTGAACTCCGGGATGCACCTTCGTCTCCCGGACTTGCATTCCACTTCTCCTCGAATGCACACCCGCGTGCCAGTTCGCGGCGAAGCCTGAGCAACTGCAGTCATACGCGCCTTTGACGCGAYATCGAGATCGCTCATCACCACCACAAGACAGAGAAGGCAACCCATCGCATATCGCGCGCTTCCCATCGACCATCGCCAACCGATCGCCGGCTCCTCCATGTTCCCCT